ATATATGTTCACGATTGTAATATCTTCTTGGTTTATTGTTCCTTTGATCAGAATGAAGTGGCCCTCTTTATCTCTTCCAATTAGTTTTAGTTTAAAGTCTATTTTGTCAGATATTAGAATTGCAATGCCTGCTTTTTTCTTAGTACCATTCTCTTGGTATATTTTTTTCCATTCTTTCACCTTAAGATAGTGCCTGCCATTGAAAGTGAGATGAGTTTCTTGCAGACAACAAAAAAATGGGTTTTGTTTCTTAATCTGTTCACCTAGTCTGTGTCTTTTGACTAGGGAGTTAAGTCCATTAATATTTAAAGTTATTAATGAAGTATGAGTTTTGAATCCTGTCATTTTTATTTCTGTTTACATTCTTGATATAGCTGTACTTTTCCACAGTTATACCTTCATTGAATTTCTTTCCGCAACCCCCTGGGTATAGTCATTCCTTTCTTTAGCTCTTTGTATTGCTTCCAGAACTCTCTGAGATTCTGGTTTTGTGGACATAAATTCCTTCAGCCTATTTATGTCATGGAAGATTCTTCTTTCCCCTTCGACTATAATAGACATTGTGGCTGGGTATAGTAACCTGGGTTGGCATCTGTGGTCATTTAACTCTGGGAATACTTTGGTCCAGGCTCTTCTGGCTTTCATATAAAGGGTTTTCCTTTATATGTGACTTGTAGTTTCTCTTTTGCAGCTTTCAGTATTGTCTCTTTGTTTTGTACATTTAGTGTTTTTACTATGATGTGCCATGGAGAGTTTCTTTTCTGGTCCTGTCTGTTTGGTGTTCTATATGCTTCTTGTATTTTGTATGGGCATGGCTTTCTTTAATTTTGGGACATTTTCTTCCACAATTCTGTTGAAGATCTGGTCCATGACATTATCTTGGGATTCTTCTCCTTCCTGCATGCCTATGATTCATAAGTTTGGTTTTTTATGGTGTCACACAATTCCTGCATATTCCATTCTTGTGCTTTCTTAAATTTTTCATAATCTTTGCTTGAGTGGTCTAGTTTGTCCACTTTATCCTCCAGATACTCTGTTTTCCATTTCATTCATCCTATTGGTGAGGATTTCTCCTGTCATTTCTAATTGGCTTACTGAGTGTTACACTTCCTTCTTCATTTCAGCCTGAGTATTCTTCAATATTTCTAGGTCTTTTCTGAATTCATTCAAAAGTTTATCCCTATCTTCCTTCAGGTCTTTGATTTCTTATTTGTGTGTTCTTTAAATTCACTGACTTCTTTTATCATGTTTATAATGTTCTTTTGAGTTCCCTGTCCTGCATTATCTCTAGTGGGTTCCCATTGTACTCCTCTAGAGGACTATTGGTATTTGGTGAGGATATGTTATTTTGGTTTTTCATGTTATTATTTTTTCTCTATGATTTTGACATGTGAGTTTCTTTTGTAGTTAGTTTCTGATTCTTGTGTGAGACTCAAGCCTTCAAGTTTAGGTCTGCTTCTTTTTGTAAACTTTATATGTCTTTGTGGTTTACTTTTGGGGCATGAAAAGCCAGTTTGTCTAAGCTTCCAGTTCTCTCTTTTGATTTTATATTGGAGTGGCAAGACTGCTTTTGTCTTTAGGAGTTCCCAAAGAGGCCCAAGTCAGATGAGGATCAAATGCTCTCAGGCTTTCTCCTAAGGTCTGGATCCCTCCAGGAAAAAGATTTTGGCCTTAGGAATTTGGGGGTTGGACTGACCTGGGAGGCAGACCCAGGAATGATGCTGGTCTAGGGCAGCTGGTGGCCGTGCCACCCAGAGATGCAAAAGGAGATGGGGGTGGGAACAGGCCCCAAGGGCTCCTGGGGAATGCCCTGAGGAACTGGGTTGGTCTGGATGCAAAGGATCAGGAAGTGGAAAGGTCAGCCCTGGTGTCCAGGAAAGAGGCTGGCTGGTTGTGCAGCCCAGGGAAGCAGAGGGAGGTGTGGGCAGGGGAGATGGGAGGGTGAATGAGGCTGGGGGAGTCAAGGCCTGGAGGGCGGGATCAAACTACCCCAGAGAGAGGCCTGAGTTGGTGAGGGTGGGACAGACATTTAAAAAAATTTTTTAAGTTATTTCTATTTTATGTGTATGAATATTTTGCCTGTGGAAGGTAGAAGAGGGTGTTGGATACCCTGAAACTGGACTTAGGGACAGTTCTTAGCCATGATGTGGACATAGGGAGCTGAACTTGGGTCCTCTGTAAGAGCAGTGAGTACCTGTGACCACTAAGAGATATTTTTCCAGCCCCCAAAGTCCTTTCTATACAAACATAAGGAATTAAGCTGGTATTAACCTCACCTTGAAGCTTCATCTCTACTGCCTAGTGTTCATGGTGCTGAAGGTGAAATGCATTCTACCAGGAAAGTAATCATCATCACCTTACCCAGCTACAAACCCTGAAAGTTACAATAATGACTGGCTTTGCATGATACACCCACCACTGGAGCAGTAATGGCACAAATGCTATAAGAGTAACCAATCACTTTCTGATTGGATTTAAGAACCATTTCACAAGATGGAGCCCATACCTGGCACTGTTATCAGGGGCAAGAACCTATGACTAGACAGGCCACACGTCTTCGGGGAGAACCTACTACTATTATTCTGCTCAGTGGGCATAATATTAAACTAATTCCTAATGACTTATTGTTATACCCGTAGATTAGTTTATCTCTCAACTCTCACCAGAAATGCTGCTTCTTGAAATAGATGGCAATTTGCAGAGACCCACAACTAGTCAAGGTGCAGAGTAAGAGACTTCGGAATGCTCATCCTTAAATGGGACACCTATATCACACCTATCACACCTTTTTCCTCCCCCGGCTCAGCAATCATTATGGGATAGTGGGCAGAAAGACTGAAGAGCCAAAGGCAGTGGATGAATACAGGGAAATTTATTATCTGGACACAACAGAGCACATATGAACCCACAGTGCTTGTGACAGGCATGGACAAGACCTGTGGAAGCCCAGGCTAGACAAAAACCCAGCATGGATGGGAGGTGGTCAAGAAGTCCCAACCCTAGGTGAGGATCTATTAGCAACTGGGAGAGGGACAATCAGTTTTCTTTAAGAGTGTGACGCCAAGTTCCAGGGGATGGACCACACCCAAGGGCATCAAGGAACATAATTTAGAGTTAATAGGCCTTTAAAAGTAATAATAGAGGACATGAACTTGTGGGATGGTGAAATAAGGTGAGGATGAAAATAGAGGAAGGGTCTGGATAGGATCAAAATACATTGTATGAGAGTCTCTGAATCAATAAAAAAAATTTTTTACAAGTATCATTACTTGTGAGTTTTTGCCTAGGATACATCATGAATATAAAATGCATCATCATTCAAGAATTAGAGAAGGGGGTGCTGGAGAGATGGCTCAGCAGTTAAGAGGACTGGATTCGATTCTCAGCATCCACATGGTGGCTAACAACTGCCAGTAACTTCAGTTCCAGGGGATCTGACACCCTCTTCAGACCTCTGTGGGCATTGCTTGACACAGGTGCAGTTACACACATGGAGGCAATACACTCATCCACATTAAAAAAAAATTTTAAAAAGAATTAGAGAATGAAGCAGAGTGTGGCGGCACCTTCTTGTAATCCCAGTGCTTGAGAGGCCAAAGTGAAAAGATGGAGAATTCAAGGCCAGCATGGGCTACACAGTGAAATCGAGGCCAACCTGGACTATCTGGTTGAGACCATGTTTCAAAGAACAAACAGGGAAGGGAAGGGGAGGGGAGGGGAGGAGAGGGGAGGGGAAGGAAGGGAAGGGAGAAGAACTCATTTATCTTGAAGGCTATTGTCTCTTAATGTGTGTAAGGCAAATAAAAAATGTAAAAAAAAATTTTTAAAGGATCATTCATCACAAGCTTAAATCATGTCATAGATGTTTCAGATGAACACAGGAGTTCTAGTTGGGATATTTTATTTTACCAAATGCCAGTGAAATTAATCAGTCATTTGGCGATTTTTAAAGGATCATTCATCACAAGCTTAAATCATGTCATATATGTTTCAGATGAACACAGGAGTTCCAGTTGGGCTATTTTATTTTACCAAATGCCAGTGAAATTAATCAGTCATTTGGTCAAGTCTTTAAAGGATAACAAAGGATGGTTTTAGAAGGCATATAAAGCTGGTGTTTGTTTTTGTTTCTTGGTTGTTATTGTTGTTAGTAGTGGGGGGACGCAGGGGTATATGTGTGTATATGTGGTTTTGTTTTTTTGTTGTGAGTTTTTTGAGAAAGAGTCTTGCTCTGTAGCCCAGGTTGGCCTAGAGCTCACTTCATAGCCTCAGCTGGCCTTGAACGTGTCATCCTCCCACTTTACCCTCCCAAGTGCTGGTGTTACACATGTGTGCCATGTTCAACCATAAAAGTTTTTTAAGGGTTATTTTTCCAGATAGTCATTCCCAAGATGAGTCAAAAAATCTTAAATGAGAAGAGAACATTTGCAGTCTAAGTCATTATTTGATGGCTATTGCTTAAATTATCTACATTGGACTTTTAAGATTCAATGCATTACCTTGCACCTAACAGACCTGCCTCTTTCTGCCCTGGATTGTCTCTGATTGCATGTTATTTTTGTCTGTGCAGCAGAATTACGTATAAGAGAGCAGGGGGCAATGAATGCCACTGCTAAATGGAATTGAATTATTCTCTAGAACTTTCAGAAGGACTAATGAGGATATGTCTTTCTCTTCCTAGAAAATGGGCAGATGTACATCCAGAAAAAGCCAACCATGTACCCACCCTGGGACAGCACCTTTGATGCCCACATCAACAAAGGAAGAGTGATGCAGATCATTGTGAAGGGTAAAAACATGGACCTCATATCGGAAACGACCGTGGAGCTCTACTCGCTGGCCGAGAGATGCAGAAGGAACAATGGGAGGACAGAAATATGGGTAAATGTCAGTGCTGCGAACATTACAAAGTACATGCAACTTCTGATGTTCCTTTCTCCACCTCCCAAAGCCTGGAGCAACAGGCATGGGCCACCACACTCAGCTAGTTCCTTAGGGTATGAGGACATTGCCTTGGATAAAGAGACTCCCTATACTTATTCACTGGTAATTTGATCATGACAGTAGCTGTTCATTATGAACTGTAGAATGCATTCATAAATTCACATCTCTTTGATGCCTATGTATGGAGAAAACGGTCATCATTCTATATATTTATAATGATGAAGGTAAGCCTGAATATATCATTAATTTCCCTTAATTGGAGTCCGTTGTCTACATACCAGCTCCTCTGAGTGTGAGAGGGCAGAAACAGGATCCATTTCATGCATGATTTTCTTTCCCCATCCTTTGCCTGTTTTTTTCCAGCCATAATGAATTCCCGAATCTTAGCTTGTACTAAGCACTTAGTCACTCACAATTCACGTTAGCACACTGAGTTTTAAAAACGTAGATTATAGTTGTTTGAGTAGCATATGTTTAGAAATGTAAAAAGGAGAATTAAAATATGAAAGAATAGAAAATTCGAATGAAAATTTCTGAGGGACAAAAATGAAATAAAATTATTTCAGTAAAGACTGCTTTATATATAGTCTGAAACCCAGAAGTATGTTTCCAAATGTTTGAATCATTTAATGCTAAGTAAGAAAATTTTGTCTTTCTGCCTGTTGCTTTCTATAATTTGGGTTTCCAAAAAGTTTTCAAGTTACAGGTTTCACATGGGTATAGTAGAAACCTAGAAATAACATTTTTGTATGTTTGTGACCTCAAAAAATGCTCTTTAGGAAAGTACATAAATCATTATTTCTGTTACTAAGAAGACATTTAAGGACTAACACATGCCAAGATGTTCTTAAGGTGCCCATGTGTACCTATGTCTAGGTAATATTGAGCAGTATATGTTGAACATTCCTTCACTCAGTGTGTGGAGAGGGATTGTGGAACCCCAGCTCCTCTGGGGTACTTGCTTAGGCAAGTAGAGAAAAGTTAAAGAACTGAAGAATGTTCCAGATGTTTGATTTGGCATGAAGAGTTTGTACAATTCAGGTAAGTGAGGATGTGGGGCTCCAGCAGGGCCTGAAACACAAGAGGGGTTGGCTAAGCTAGGGGGAAAAAGGCAAGCTTCAGACATTCTCCCTCCCCCAGCATCCAACTCCTATTCTCACCTGTTTATTTTCTCCTTTCTACTTAACTTATTTTAAAGAGACTAGCCAGTTCCCTGGTTTTTATAGTATACTATCTAGTTGTCTTTCTTCTATAAATTAGGCTTCACTAGCAGTGTTTCTATTTCTACCTCTTTAAAGTTGTCTTTGATTCTTACCCCGTTTTGCTGATTTTCCCTCCCGTCCTCCACACCCTTCCCATTCCCACTTCCCATACCCCCCCCCTTTTCTGTTTTTCTTTTCTTGACATAAGGTCTTGTTGTATAGACCAGGGTAGTCTTGAACTGTGGACCGTCCTCCTGCCTTGGCTTCCCAGGGTCAGGATGACACGGGTGTGCACCAGACACAGATGTGCAGTAGGCACAGGTGCGCACTAGGCACAGATGTGCCCCAGGCACACGTGTGTATTTTCTCCTTATGAGACATTCACTTTCTTTGCGGTCTAAGACTGTTGGACAGAAGCATGCAGTGGCATTCACACTGTCATTCAGTCACCAGTTGGGGATTTTGCATTTTTAAGCTTTAGACTATTTTTCAGGATTATTTCTTGGATTCCTTGATTTTAAGAGGCCACAGATTATTTTGAGCTGTTTTCTTTTTCTTCCGTGGCTATCAATTTTCTTAAAATTAATTTGTTTTACAAAGATTTTCTCAGATGCCCCTTCATGCCCATCATGTTCATAAAGGCCACACTGGGACTTGCCTTCAGCTGCCGCAGGGTTGCAACTTTTGCATGTTTTTTCCCATTCACTCCCCCATGCGTTATAAGATGCGATTTTGAGTCGCTTCTTGGTTTAATCTCCTCCATCACTCCTACTTCCTGAATATTGATAACTCTGTGTTGACCTTGTGACAACTCTCACCACTTCCTTTGGAAACTGGCCCTTATCCCTCACTCTTCTGTTTCTGATTCCATTTTTACTATTCCACAAATCAGAAAATGATGCCCATTCTTATGTTCTAAAGCACATTTTTCTATGTGTATGAGTGTTTTTGCCTGCATGGATGCAGGTGCACCTGTGTCGTGCAATGCCCAGAGAGGTCAGAAGAGGGTGAGGGTTGTTAACTGCCATGTGGGTGCTGGAAACCAAACCCAGGTCCTCTGTAAGAGCACTGGGTGCTCTTAACTGCTCAGCCATCTCTCTAGCCCCCTAAGCACTTCTCTTTACATTAATGTGTTTAAATGTGTTAGAATTTATAGCTACTGAAGAAGCACAGCTTTATTTCATCATAAAACTCCTAACAGTAGGGGCACTGTTAGCTTTTCAGAGATCTTTGAAGCTTAGTGACTTGCACAGATTACCCAGCCAAGAACTGATTTAGTGACAAATGCAAATCCAGCTCCAGGTTCCACAGGACATCTCTTGTTTTCTTTCAGTTATTCAAAACGACACGTGACTGATGATCAATAATAACCTTTGAGTGACTCTCTGCTTAGTCTATTCAGTTCACTAGAGAATAATGTGATGGCTTTATTTATATACACATACATATATATACATATATGTGCATGCATGCATGCATGAATGTGTATATATGCACACATGTTTACACATATGTGTGCATACATGCATATATGTATATATACAAACATATATACATATAAAAGGAATTTGTCCTTTTTTCTCCTATACATCACATTCCAAGGAATCCTTCATAAGGTCTTAAAATGTCACTTTGTTCTGTTTTTTCTACATAATGCTGTCTATAATACACATGCTTATATATGCATGCAATGCTCATATAATTACAATGACATGGTATACATGGTACTTATAAGCTTGTTGTAAAGCTAATATATTATAGGCCAGATAATTTAATAATTACTCACATATGCATGTATA